ATGCTGTTGACGATGATGATGTTGCTGCTGATGAGGAGGAATCACGCAGATCATGCAGATGATGGTGACGACGATGATGATGCTGATGATGGTGATGACGATGACGACGATTGGTGTTGTGATTGATGGTGCTGTTGATTATGATGCTGACTATTATATTGGTGATACTGGTGGTAACGGTGATGGTGATGATGATACTGCTGTTGCTGATGATGATGAGGCTGATGATGATGATGCTGATGATGATTATGTGATGCTCATGGGGATGATGATGATGATGCTGACGATGACGATGATGGTGATGATTTTGATGATGGCGACGATGATGATGACGGTGACGATCACGATGATGATGCTAATGATGATGATGATGATGATGATGATGATGATGATGATGATGATGATGATGATGATGATGGTGATGATGGTGCTGCTGATGATGATGCTGATGATGCTGCTGGTGATGATGATGACGCTGACGCTGGTGATGATGATGATGATGATGATGATGATGATGATGATGATGTTGATGTTGATGATGATGATGATGATGATGATGATGATGATGATGATGATGATGATGATGATGATGATGATGATGATGATGATGATGAGAAGTAGGAGGAGGGGGAGGAGGAGGAGGAGGAGGAGGAGGAGGAGGAGGAGTAGGAGCACGCGCGCCCCTTTCTTCTCCTTCCTCTCGCCCCAGCCCTCGCCCCTCTCCTCCTCCCGGGGCGCCGCCCCCCCTTCCCCCTCCTCGGTCGTCTTCCTCTCATCCTCCCCGTGCGCCTTCCCATGCATCCCAACCCCGCTGGCGGCAATCGGAGCGCCACAGCCTCCCCCTGCATCCTCTTTATGACACTGTGCCGCCTCCGCTCCATGCGACGTGAGCCCCCTCAGGCGGGCGCGGCCTCCACTGCGGTGTGCGTCCCCAAGGGGGCCTTCCCCGCTCCGGCGATGTAGGCAACGGCGATTTAGGTTTCGGTATTGAGAGGACGCGCGGCTCGTGCTTTCCTGCAATTCGCTGTGTCGTTTTCGTTCGATACGTCGGCATTTCGGGAAATCTAGGAGGCGTGGTTCGTGAGCTCCCACGAGTTGGTTCCCAACGTCACCATTAAGCAGCATCGCCGTCAGTGTGGCCTTGGACGCTCCCCTCCCGTGGGTGCGGCCTGCGCTTCACGCTCCCCTCCCCTCGGCGCGGCGGGCGCGGCTCTCCCGGGGGTGCGCAACGCACGCCCCCTTCTTCACATTCGCAGCAGCAGCAGCTACTGGGACCCTTTTCCTCTTTCCTGCTTCCCCTCCTCCTTTCCCTCCTCCTCCTCGCGTTTCTCCTCCCTCCCTCCTCCTCCCTCCTCCTGTTTCTCCTCCCTCCTCCCTCCTCCTCCTCCTCCTCCTCCTTTCCCTCCTCCTCCTCCTCCTCCTCCTCCTTCTCCTCCTTACCTCCTCCTCCTCCTCCTCCTCCTCCTCTTCCCCCTCCTCCTTCTCCTCCTCAAAAAAAAACACGAAGCCGAAGCTGGACGCCCGAGCGACGGCGAGACGCCGTCTGGGGGGAGGGGGAAGGGGGTTTCGCTTGTGCGCCGAGAGCCCGCCTGCTGGGCGGTGCCCGCGGCGACCGGCCCGCGGCAGAGGAGGAGGAGTAGGAGGGAGGAGGAGGAGTAGGAGGAGGAGGAGGAGGAGGAGGAGGAGGAGGAGGAGGGGGAGGGGGAGGAGGAGGAGGAGGAGGAGGAGGAGGAGGAGGAGGAGGAGGAGGAGGACGAGAAGGAGGAGGAGGAGGAGGAGGAGGAGGAAAAGGGGAAGGATGCGAGGGGAGGAGAAAGACGAGGAGGAGGATCAATGTAAACCCAAGAGTCATCAGCAATGTTGGAATAAGCCCTCTCTCTCCAAGCTCCCTCTTCATGGGCCCCATGCAACGGTTCAGTTCCATGGAAGGAACTGCTTCTCTGGAAGACAGCCGTTTTGAAGACCCTCGGGATTCCAACGCCACGGATCAACCTGACTGTTGCGTCTTGACTGTCCTGACTCGTGCCAGAACGCTATTCTTGGGACATCAGCACAGCGAATCAACATAACTGCTGCGCCCGCGTAATCCGGAATTCGTTCAAAACACCATTTCTGACACGTTCATCATGGGAATCCAGGCAAGTCTTGCAAATGTTAAGAACGAATGTGTGCCGCGCTAAGGCGAGAGCCACGTTTGAAACCAACCCGCTTTCAATCAGTGAAGCTGTTGCAATTTTATGTTTAAACAAATGTGCGCCGCGCTGAGGTGAGAGCCACGTTTTGAAAACGACCCGCCCTCAATCCGTGAAACTTTTGCAAATATTGAAAACGAATGTGTGCCGCGCTAAGGCGAGAGCCACATTTTGAAAACGACCCGCTTTCAATGCGTGAAACTCTGGCAAATGTTTGAAAACGAATGTGCGTCGCGCTAAGGCGAGAGCCACATTTTGAAAACGACCCGCTCTCAACCCGTGAAGTTCTTGCACTTTTGTTTACAACAAGAAAGCGCCACGATAAGGCGAGAGCCGCATTTTGAAAACGACCCGCCCTGACTCCGTGAAGCCCTTGCAATTTTTGAAAACGAATGTGCGCCGCGCTAAGGCGGGAGCCACATTTTGAAAACGACCCGCCTTCCATGTAGTTTTTCAGCTTCAGAGTCATAAGCGGTGAGGAAGTCTCAGGCGAATCGCCCGGCCCGCCCTAAAAACTTGCCTCGGGTTGCGACAGGCAGAGGTTGTTTATGAGCAAAAGCAGTGGGGGAGAGGGAGGAGGAGAAGGGGGAGTTCTTTCGTCCGCAACATGGGGCTCCTTTGTCGGCACGGTTTTCGCTTTTTCAGGCACGCAGCTTGCCGCTCGTCGAGGAGGAGGAGGAGGAGGAGGAGGAGGAGCAAGAGGGGCATGAGGAGGACAGCGATCGGGATGATGAGTTGATGAGTTGATGTTCGCGGTCAAAACGGCAACGGTGATGATTCCTCTTATTCGTTTGGATGAGGGTATCGGTGTTCAGGCGGAAATGGTGGATGATGGTGGTTGTGGTGGTGGCTGTGGCCTCGGTGGTGATGATTACGATCATGTTGTTGATGATGTTGATTATGGTGATGATGATGCTGTTGATGGTGATGGTAATGGTGATGGTGATGATGAAAACTAGGATGATGCAGATGACGGCGATGGCGATGATGCTAATGAAGATAATGCTGATGCTTTTGTTCCTGCTGATGATGATGCTAATGATGCGGTGGAGGAGTTTGGGGAGGTGGAGCGTCAGGGTGAGGGGGGGAGGTCTGAGGATGATGCTGACGACGTGGAGCAGGACGATATTACCTGAGACGCGAGAACGGGCAGGCGCTCTTGCTGTGGTGCAGGAGGCGGAAGAGGAGTGCGAGGTTGCCGAGGTGCTGACCACCGTGGTCATACGCAACATGCCGCAGGAGTGCTCCTCCTCGTTGTGGCCCTTCAATCCAATTTGCAATGCCCTAGTCACCTTTTTGCTTCGCACGTCTGATCAGGCGTCGACGACTGCCATGCCCGAAGCAGCATCACATTCCAACGAGTATCTCAACGCGCTGCCCGAGGCCACTGTCGTGACCCGGGCTGCATGACACGTCCTCGTCCTCCTCCGCCTCGTCCTCCTCGGCGTCCTCGCCGTCGTCCTTGCTGTCATGGTCACTTCACCAGCCTCCAACTTATCCCTATCCTTAAGATTGACACGCCAAAAGGCGATGACAGTCTTAGGGATGCGCCCTGAAAAACTAAGGGAATCCCTGAGACTGGCACTGTGATGAAGCGATGCCCAGCTTAGGGATAGGGATATGTTCCAGGCTGGTAATCAGTGCCGCCCCCTTGGCATCCGTCATGTCTCGCATTCCCCCCCACTGCTCCAGCCCGCCTGCTGCGGCCGTCCCTGCCCCATTGCACTGCTGCGCTGCCCGTTGTGGCGGCGGCTGTCGCTCAAAGTGCCAGAGCCGTGGGCCCGTGGCACGCCTTCGTCTCGCCAGTCAGATTCACCCCGCGTGCGCGCCAACCTCTCTCTCTCTCTCTCTCTCTTCATTTTTTGCGTGTGTAGGTACTCTTTCTCTCTCTCTCTCTCTCTCCCTCCCTCTCTCTTTCTATTTCTATCTCTCTCTCCTCTCTCCCTCTCTCTTTCTATCTCTCTCTCTCTCTCTCTCCGTCGGGAAGCCCCAGCGAAGGTCTTTATCTCGTGAATCATAGTCGCGCTGGCGATTTCTGCCGCTGGATCCCACAGGGAGTTGGGCAGATGATACCACCAAAGAGGTAGGCATGCACCCAGCTACATTTTGATTATGCGGCTTGTCGGCTACAGAGATGAGAGATCATAAGTGGCGCTCTTGTTCATGCATTCGGTCGTATTTCTCTTGTTTTATCTTGAAGTCTCTGGGGCAAGTTGCCCCGGGAGCCCCACAGATGCTCACGTCGCTTCTAGCATGCTGTTCTCTCAACCAGGGTAAGAAAAAAAGGTATAATTGCCACCAGGCTCGAGTTGTGCTTGTTTTTGTTGCGTGGTGCACGTGCACAGCACCACGCAATGACATGCATGCGCCCAGCGCCGCCACCACCCTTGCTTCCAACGTACCTGGGGGCAGGGTGGTCGTGCTGTGTGCTCCTTTCATTGAAGCAGGCGTACACCCGCGACATGTTCCTGGAGCTGCTGGACTCCGAAGGGTCGAACCTTCGCTTCATGACATCTGTCTTGTCCCTGCTGTCATTGTCCTGCAAGAGCAGAACCGAATCGCCACATCTTCTTGCTGCGTACTGAAGCATGCTCTATACTGGCCATGTTGTAAACCTTCGCCCGCCGCCGGAAAGCCCCTTGCCCGGGGAATACGGCGGAAGGTCCCTGGAGGTCCTTGGTGGTCTCTTGGAGAATTCGAAGTGTCTGGAGGATCTCGAGGCCCGACAACTGTAAAACCAGCCCAACCGATACTCCCGCCCCTTCCCCCCCTTCCGGGCGCAGGTTCCAGAACCAGTACGACTTCATTTATGTCCCTCTCGATTTCGGCCTGCATTGCAGGATGGGCCGGCAAGACTCCTGTGCTTGGGGTGGGGGGCAGGGGAGGGCGGGGGCGTTGCCACCGCCTCCCGCCGAGAAGCAGGAGGAGGAGGAGGAGGAGGACAGGACGACGAGAAAGGCGAGGAAGTCAGGAGGTGGAATCGTACGAGGAGGAGGAGGTGGAGGTGGAGGAGGAGCAGGAGGAGGAGGAGGAGAAGCAGAAGCAGAAGCATGAGCAGGAGGAGGAGGAGGAGGAGGATCCCCCTGCCCTTTCCTCCCCGTCCCCCTGTTCCCTTGACTCCCCCCCCCCTCTCCCCTCTACCCCCCCCCCCTGCCTCCCTCCCGCCCTTCCCCGCCCCGCCCCTGCCTTCCCACCCCCAGCCCTTCGTCCGTTTGCACTGCTTCAGTGGAGCGTCTGGAGCCAGAGATGCATCAAGGAAAAGTCAGCCAGTACGATTGGGCGACACATTCGTGTGAAAAGGTGGGAGGGTGGGATGTTCGTACGAGCAGTGGAGAGGACAGCTTCAAGACGGTCAAAGATTATCAAAAACAGAATAGGATCTACCCCCCCGGCGTTATCGCTACCCATTTCGGGTATGTACATCCTATATGATTCTGACCACATGTCCATCCTAAACATGAAATCACAATGTCAAATGCCAACCGGTATCCCCCCCCTGAGGGTCCCTTGTAAAAAAACACTATGCGGTGGCGCTTTTTGCTCTAACATAACACTTTTTCACGAAACCCTTGCAAAAAATGAGACGAAGTGCGCACGCGGGCGTCGTCGCGCGCGCATGCCGAAATCCTTCAAAAACATTCGGTGTTTCCCAAATACATACAAAAGCATAGGGTTTCGCAACACTGATTTGCTAAAAAAGCTTCCGCGCAAGCTCTTGAGAAGTCTTAAGAAAACCATAGGTTTTCCAAGATTTTCACATAATTCTATGAAACGGGCTTCGCGCGCGCGCATGTCGAAATCTGTCGAACGCCCTTGCGCGTGTGCCGTCGCGAGAATCCTCTGCAAAAAAAATTGACGAAGTGCAGACGCGTGCGTCGTCGCTCGCGTATGCCGAAAACCTTCAACACCCATCGGTTTCGGAAGGATTTCAAAATCGTGTGTCCAAAAAGCTTACAAAAACACAAGGTTTCGCAACACGGATTTTCACCCAAAGCGTGCGCGCGCGCTTTTGCGTCGTCGTCGTCGTCGTCGCCGTCCTCCCTCCTCCCGCGTCGTCGTCGTCGTCGTCGTCGTCGCCTACGTCGTCCTCTGTCTTTCCTCGTGTTCGTCGTCGTCGTCCTCTTTGGCGTCGTGGTCGTTTCCGTCGTCGTTGTCGCCGTGGTCGTCCTTCCTCCTCCTCCCTCGTCGTCGTCGTCGTCCGTCGTCGGCGTCTCGCCGTCGTCCCTCCTATTTCGTCGCCGTCGTCGTCGTCGTCGTCGTCGTCGTCGTCGTTGTCGTCGGCGTCGTCTTCCCTCCTCCCTCGTCGTTGCCGTCGTCGTCGTCGTCGCCGTCCTCCCTCCTCCCTCGTCGTTGTCGTCGTTGTCGCCGCCGTCGTCGTCGTCGTCGTCGTCGTCGGCGTCGTTGACGTCGTCGTCGTCGTCGGCGTCGTCGTCATCGTCGTCGTCGGCGTCGTCATCGTCGTCGTTGTCATCGTCGTCGTCGTCGTCGGCGTCGGCGTCGTCGTCGTCGTCATCGGTGTCTTTGTCGTCGTCGTCGTCGTCGTCGTTGTCGGCGTCGTTGAAGTCGTTGGAGACGTCGTCGGTGTCGTCGTAGTCGTTGTCGTCGTCGTCGTTGTCGCTGTCGTCGTCGGCGTCGCTGTTGTTGCCAAGTGCCATTTGGTACCCACCGTCACGCTCTTAAGAGATTTTGCAAACCAAGTTGCGGGCGGGTGGGTGGGATGTTTGCGCGAGTAGTGGAGTGGACAACTCACTGCGAACAGAAATTAATTGCACCACATAGATTTCGCCACGTCGAATGCACTGCGCAGGGTGCACCGCATATATTGCACCACGTAGTTTGCACCACATATTCTGCACAACATAGAATGCATACCATATCCTGTACCACATATACATATGTATGTATTGCACTACTGAGACTGCACCACATAGATTTCACAACACAGCACAACATCTACCACACCACATATATTGCACCAGGTAGATTGGACCACTTAGATTGCCCCACTTAGATTGCACCGCATATATTGCTAGAGACACGCCGACTACACTACATTGAAAGAAGTGTGCATCAAGACCCGGCCACTGACGCACACTTCCCGAGCGAAAACGTCACGTATGATGCAAGTCCTTGGAAGGCTCTGCACAAGACGTCTTGGGACCCATTCTGTCTTCCAAACTGACCACCAGAGGTTCTCGGACAAATTTGTTTCATCAATGGGAGTTCCAAGCCGTTCGAAGGGGATCCACAAGCCCTTTGGATATTTCTCTTCCCATGTTGTAAGCAGAACCTCCCGACAGATATGCTCGAAGCCCTCCCAATCATGGTTCAAACGTGGTTCCAAAGTCGGCACTTGGAGGGATGACGTACGTGTCAACGACTGTATGACGGGACATTCAGCTGTTCTTGTTCGTGCTCCATTTGTTGATGCGTGGCTCAGTGGATCTAGGAGTGAATCTCTTCGTGTAGAGGGTTTTCGCACTTTGCTCGCATGCCTAATTATCTTCACGCCGAGAAGTCGTTGGACGGGGTTCGGCGGTGATTTTTCTCAAGTACTCCGGGCCTCCGGAATCATGAGCCACCATCCGCACCAGCAGATTTGTTTTGCCGCCGCAGCGCGGCGGAGGGGGTCCGCACGCGCGTCGGGGCTAGCACGTGACGCGGCAGCGCGCATCGGCCCGCGTGCAAGGGGGAGAGGGCGGGAGGGCAGGACGGCCGCAGAGAAGGAGACACCAGCAGACAAGGAGCTGCGGAAAGATCAGGGCCCTGAGGAGGAGGAGGAGGAGGAGGAGGAGGGGGAGGAGGAGGAGGAGGGGGAGGAGGAGAAGGAGGAGGAGGAGGAGGAGGAGGAAGAGGAGGAGGAGGAGGAGGAGGAGGAGGGCGAGGCTCGCGGAGTGGGTCTGGGGGTGGCATTTGGGCCGATTCCGGGCTGCTCTTTGGTGAGAGCGCTTCGTGCGTTCACCGGGGCCCACCGGGTATCGGGTCGGACACACTCAGACACGCAGAGTGATCATAGTGGTTGTACGATTCGAGTCGCCAGTCTGTTGGTGGTGTACTCGTTGCTGTTATCCATTGGCTCTGCGCCGTGCATAAAGCGGCTGAAAGTTTCGGGTATGCCTTCGTCAACATGGTCTCGCCGCAGGCGGCAGTGCTGCGCCTGCGCGCGTGCAGCTAGCTAGCTGGGAGAGCAGGAGTCGGTGGTTCCTCAGGGTCGGGTTGTGCCCGTGCAGGTTTGGCCGCCAACTCAGCCTCGATTCCACTCCCACAATCGTCTTCCATGGTCCATGATGGTCGCGTCGCGAGCACGCCTGGTGCTCCCGCAGCAGTCATGCCGACCGCACCTCTTGAAAGTTGTCGGGTTGGCTCTGCTGTTGCGCTCGCTTTCATGTGCCTTTTGTGGTTCGCGCCGTAGTATTCCTGCTGCCACGGCGGGAGCATACTCGACGCACTGGAGGTAGTTTGCTGGAGTCTCCCTGCAATAACGAGCGTGACGGTTGGGGGCGAGGGGGGGAAGGGGCTGGTCACATCCCGATTCGCGCCAGCGCCGTCTGAGAATGCTCAGGAAAGGCTGATTCCCAGACGGCGCCGGCGCGACTCGTGACGTGACCAGTGGGGGTTGGGAGGGTGGCGGGGCTGGTGAATGGGCTCCTGGTCGGGACTGCGTGTCGTTGGATTCGTCGGAACTTTTAGGTGCCAGAAGCTCGGTGGCAGTCAGCCCTGTGCTCTCGACCTTCACGGCAGGCGCTTGCAGGGACGCGTGCGACTCTGTTTTGTCGCTCGTTGTACCCCGCCCACCATTTTAGAATGCGAAGGCCTTACGGCCAGCGACACTGACCCTCAAGGAGGAGGGGGAGGAGGAGGAGGAGGAGGAGGAGGACGACGAGACGACGACGTCTCACCATCGCAGATTTCACGAGGTACTGTATGCATTCGGGGCCCTTCTGTCGACGAGGGGAGGGTCCGGCAGCCGTATGTCGGGCTTGTCCCTCCACGGGAGGAATATTCAAACATCGTCCGAAAATAATATGGGCACGATTCTCCCATTATTTTTCGAATACTTCTTGGGTAGTTTGTTGAATCCGTTTGATCTTTCGTCCAAGACCCCCCTGTAGGAGGACATGCCAGACCTAACAGTAGCCCCTGACGCTCAGAGGGGGCGCCCTGCTCCGAAAATAGTCCGAAAATAAGACGGGTACGATTCTCCCAATATTTTTCAAATATTTCTCGAGTATTTGTTTGAATATGTTTGGATCGTTCGTCCAAGAGACCCCCCTGTAGGAGGACGTGCGCCAGACCTAAAAGGTAGCCCCCGACGCTCAGAGGGGGCGCCCTGCTCCGAAAAGAGTCAGAAAAATAATAGGGAATCGTTTTTTCTATTATTTGTTGAATACTGCTTGAGTATCTTTTGTTTGTGCAACTGTTTGATCCTTCGCCCGAGACCCCCCTGTAGGAGGACATGCTCAACCTAAAAAGGTAGCCCCCGACAGTTCCATTGTTCTATTTGTTTTGAAAACTTCTTGAGACAATGTTGTTTGTATATTTTCGATCGTTCGTCCGAGATCCCCCTGTGGGAGGACATGCCAGTCCTAACAGTAGCCCGTGACGCTCAGAAGGGACCTTGAGTATTTGTTTGACTATTTTTGCTTTTTCGTCCAAGATCCCCCCTGTAAGAGAACATGCCAGACCTAATTAAAAAGGTGGCCCCCGACGCCCAGAAGGGGCGCCCTGCTCCGAAACTAGTCCGAAAAATCGTATGGAATCGACTGCTCCATATTTTTTGAGCACTTCCTGATTATGTTTGATTATTTTTGCTCTTTCGTCCAAGATCCCCCTGTAGGAGGACGTGCTCAGACCTAAAAAGGTGGCCCCCGACGCTCCGAAAGGGGCGCCCTGCTCCTCGGGCCGCTCCCCCCGGCCTCCCGCGGGGGGGTCGGGGCACCTCCTCGGTGCCCGAGGCCCGGCGGCGGCCCTCTCCAGCGCCAGGGGGGTTCGGCCAGAGGAGGTCCTCCTCGCCCTACTCGTCCTCCTCCTCCTCCTCCTCCTCCTCCTCCTCCTCCCTCCTCCTCCTCCTCCTCCTCCTCCCTCCTCCTCCTCCTCCTCCTCCTCCTCTTCCTCCTCCTCCTCCTCCTCCTCCTCCTCCTCCTCCTCCTCGTCCTCCCCCGTCTTGCGCCCCTCCTCCTCGTCCTCCTCCGTCTTGCACCCTTGTCAGCACCAGGGGGTTCGGCCAGAAGGGTCGGGAGCTTTGAGACGGGGGTCAATGCGAACGGGGGTCAGCCACGGCACCGGATCCTGCAGGATCCTGCGAAGACCCCCTCTGGCTGACCCCCTCTGGCTGACCCGGGGTTCGGCCTGAAGTCAGGAGGGAAAAAAACACAGAGACACAAATGATCGTCGACTCCCAGGAGAATATGGGAAACATGGGAAATGGGGGGGAAGACGAAAACCCAGAAGATATGGGAAAGTATTGGGAATCCGGTTAGTTGTGTGTATTTATGTGTGTCCTTGGGCCCCTTCAAGATGGGGTCCTCCTGGGCCCGACCCGGCGTGGTGCAGTCGGCCCAGATTAGTAGGTCGACTCTGCCAGCTCAGGGGTGCCCTCGTGTCCTGTGCCTCGCGACACGTGCCTTCTCACACTCCTGTGGCAATGTGGCCCTCGGAAGGGTCTTGTGTCCTCTCGCGTGCCCTGTCCAATCAAGGCCGACTTTACGACGATGACGAGCCATCACATCGGACACCTGTCCGGGCCTGCTAAGACCAGGTGGGTGAGGCCATGGCCTCCTGTATAGACATGCATGCACGCATAGGAGCTGCGAGACGTACAACAAAAGATATGAATGGCGTGGTACGGGCTCTGGGCAAAGATGGCACTGGAAGGGCAGAGGAGCCAACAAAACCACTGCTCTCACAGTCGGCCCTGATGAGTAGGTCTCGACCCTGCCACATCGAGGGTACCCTCGCGTCCCGTGCTTCGCGACCTTTGCCTTCCGCATTCCTGTGGCAGCGTGGCCCTCGGAAGGGTCTTGTTTCCTCCCGCGTGCCCTCTCCAATCAAGTCCGACTGTAGACTTATGATGTGCCAACCTACTTTAGCCTTGGTCACCAAAAAGAGTTTCGAGCACCGAGAAACCACCGAAGCTGCAGGGTCTTCGCGTGTCGGGCCCCGGCAGGCGATGCTCGCTCGACGCTGTTTCGATACTGCTCTGGGTGCTCGAACTTATGTTTGGGATTAGGTCCTCGTAAGTACGATGGGAGCAACATGGAGGAGGAGGAGGAGGAGGAGGAGGAGGAGGAGGAGGAGGAGGAGGAGGAGGAGGAGGAGAGAGGAGGAGGCTCCGCCGCGGCGCCGCGCGGCTCCCGTGGGCCGCCGCCGTGGCGGCCCCGCCGCCGAGCACGAGCCGGGCCGCGGCCCTCGCGCCACGGGGGCCGGCGCGGGGCCCCGTGGGCACGAGCGCGGCGGTGGCGTGCAGTGGGACCCAGTCGGCTGCGAGCGAGGGGGGTGTAAAACGACGCGAAGATCGGGACAAAATCGGATCGGGATGACTCGAAATCTCTGAGCATCGGCGGGTTTGGAGGATGTATTGGGCGCCGCGGCCGCTCCAGAGCGTTCCGGAGCGCTCTGAGAGCGCTCAGGAACGCTCTGGAGCGATTTATCCCGATCCTAGCCCTGTTTCAAGGGGGGGAAGGGAGAAGGGGAAGGCCTCCTCAGAAGGTCCGGAAGCCCCCCGGCCTTCCGAGAAGTTGCCCCGAAGGCAGAAGCAGCTTCTCGGAAGGCGCGAGGGCTTCTGAGAAGCCCCGCCGCCTTCTGAGAAGGCCTTCTCCTTCTCATTTCGCCCCCTCGCTCGCCGCCGACCCATGCCGAGGAGTGCCCTGCTTGTCGCCAGGGTGCCCTGGGCTTCTTGGGTTTCGAGGGTGATGCTGCTCAAAGCGTGGCGGTCCCAGGCCAACAGTCGAACGACGTCCTGGGGCCTCAGGGTGGGGTTTCTTGCGGGAGGTTTCTTGTGGTCGAGCTCCAACTGCATTCAGTTTTGGTCACAAAGGACCCGACGTTCATACACCACCGCCTAAATGTGCAGTTTTTGGTTTTGAAGCTCCCCTCCCGTAAGCTCCCCTTCCGTAGCGCCCGTGACCCCAAGGGTGTCCCGAGCTGTCAGCCACACTCGGGAGCCCCTGGGGGATCCCATGGGCCTCGTCGGGGCCTCCACGGAAATCCTGGGGGGGCACCCTCCCAGACATTTGGCTGCTCCAATTTTTGCGACGAGTGGGCCCCGGAGAAGTCTGGACCACTTCCCTAATGATAGGGCCGACTCCC